AATCAGTTGTTGGCCGGTTCCCAGCAGGAGATGGCATGAGTAACGCGTCCTTTCCATCCCTGCAGCATCCAATTCCCGTCTTCATCCACCGAGAACTCCTCATGATAATCCCTCCGCACCTTATCCCTCACGTACTTCACAATCTCTTGATCCAACTCCATCTGTCTGAATCCAGCCCTCGCTGTCCTGCACTGCCACTGCCTGTACCCCTCTGGCCTCTCTATCCTCTCCGTATCCTCGCAGGCTATCACGTTCATCACCTCCTTCCCCAACACCATCTCCTCGAACAGTAACCTGTACTCGTCCTCCCGCGCCACTGTCGCCTCAAACATATCAAACATGGACGAGAAGTGGTAGAGCGTTTCCTTGAACCTCGAAACGAAGAAGGGCGTGTTGTAAGTTCCGCACGCCACTCCGTGTACAAACATGGCCGGCTTCATCTTCCTCATCAGCTCTAGCACCGCATCTCTCCCCACGCCCACAGTCTCGTCCCCAACATGGTGAAGCCGGTAAAGGCAATTGGCCACCACCAAATCGTCCTTCCCAATCTCCAGATCCTCCACCCGCACGCTCTCCCATTTCTGCGCGATCGCCTTGTACTCGAACGGGACGCCGAACCTCCTGCAGTAACTCGCGAGGCGGCAGCCCGTGCCCTCCAAGCGCTCGGCCGGGCGGAGCCCCGGCTGGGGGAAATCGATGCCCGTGATGCGCAGCCTCGGGGGCCCGGAGGGCTGTTCGGACAGGGCCTTGATGAGGGAGGGCCAATGAAGTCCGTAAAGAATCCCGAAATCCACGAGGTGGAGCCTTGTTGCCCCGGCTGCCAGTTTCCTGATTGCGATGCTTGCAAAGAGGTTGGACATTTTTTCGAAAGGGCATGCCGTGATGAACATCTCATAGGCTTTCAAGCCCTCTGCGGCCGATAAACTCCGTGAGTCGATGGCCGAGTAAAGCTCTGTTCCCGTGCCGGCCAGCCGGGCCTCGATGGCGTTTGCTATATAATGGGCGAGCCTCTGTGCGCCGTCTCCGTGCGGGGATGAGTGCTCCCTTATGCGGAGGAGCAGCTCGTTGGCGGTCCTCATGTCAAAGGCCGACACGCACTGCGCACACTGGAGTAAGAGTGCTCGGAGGTCGACCCCAGATTCATTAATTGTGTTTTTCTTGCCTCCTCTTCTGGGTATTGCTGGTGATTTCTTCTTTGTTCGTTGGAAGTTGTGATTTCTTCTTTCTTCTGAGATGGAGCAAAGCAGCACGCTGTCAAACATCTCGAGCGGCTCGTTTTCGTCGATGCTGCCCGCCATTTGTTTGTTACTCCTCCTTACAATGTTGCCTTCATCAATGGGAGGCTCCCTGACACGGTTTTTCTTCTTTTCGTTGGAGGAGTCCAACGGCAACACATGAAATTCAGACAGTGCCTCGTTAAGGCACCAATCACTTGGGGTGCTATAGTTTTTGGTGAAATCGTCCCTATTATGGTTGTTGAGGACATCGTAAAAGGATTTCTCAGTGGCCTGGAGAGCCAAGCATTCGTGGAGCATGGACGCCCGATTCTGCAACTCATCCTCTTCCTCCATAAGCATATCCCTTATGAACTTGAATACCGCATCCGAATGATGATCGTCTTCTTTCAAACTCTCCCCCTCACCCTCCTCACACAACAACAACAATGCAGGTTGTGGTTCCTTCACCTGCAGATCTGAGGTGGAACCATTTGTTTTCGAATTTTCCACCCAACTGTAGTAATCATTTTCATCATCGGAGCATACTGATTTTGAACAAATATCATATGGTTCTTGTACTAAAGTATCCATGAGCACCCAGTATCTATTTATTTACCAGAAACAAAAAGGGGGTTCAATCTTAGTTTCGACAAACATAGATTAATAAACTGAAGAAACATGGCCATGGAAGCAAATCCTATATAGTAAAAAACCTTAAAACACACACAAACACACACACACACACACACACACACACACACACACACACACACACATACATACATTGCGTCTCTGAAAGGAAATAAAAAGGAAAAGGGACTTTGAAAAGTACCGGAGAGAAGCAGATGATATCCAGCAGCAATAGAGCAGAAGAGTATAATATT